GAAGCGAAAATTTGTATGAATATTAGTTTTCAGCTGCTCTTATACATCATTTAAGTAAAATCTCAGGAAGATCAATAGTTTTGTAGTTCGAATTTTAGCAACGTCATGTGAAAACCAGCTATTGTCACAAATTTCCTGGTACCAGAGAATCTTCTTCGCTAGAGTCTTAACGGACTTAAAGGAAAACGTAAGAAGGAGAGCACCTGGGTCAAAATAGCTGTTTACACTCAGACTTCGTTTGTAGTTGCCGTATTACCGCGACTTTGCATCAATATAATCGATGTAAACGAAGAACGTTTACTAACAGTATTTCTCTCTAGTATACGATTTCGTTTTCAGTGTAGGTACAAAGTACGAGTTCTGTTGAGTCTGTTAGTAGTTAAGTAATTACAACAACGCACGGAGACAAAAGGTGATTCAATCATTCTTTTCAAAGTTTTTTTTTTCCAACCAAGATTTAATTCCTTTGTTATTTTAAGTGCCTGACAGCAGGCCGGAGTTGAAAAGGGCATACGTGGTTTAAGTACAAAGTTAAGTACAAACGAACGTTGAACAGAGAAATTATGACAGGGCAGTTGTACAGAGGTACAAGGTTCAATTTGAATGGGTAATCGTATGAATGCGAGTGCAGTTAGCAATCAAGGATTCACACTACGAGTGATATTTGAGAATTCTCTCAAAATTTCCCGAGCCTTTAGGCGAATGCAATTCGAAAGAATTTTCAAATATCACGAGTAGCGTAAATCCCTAATCGCTCGAGCCTTCATACGATTACTCATTTATCATATGACTGAGAAAATCACGAACGCGCGCGCGTTAATTTGCATTGCAGTGCAAATTAAGAATTAACGATAAATTGGCCTGCTCTCAGTGAATCACAATGAAGTAATTTTCTCAGTCATATAATAAAACACGAAACACTAGGAAAGGAAATTATAGAACGATTCGAAAAGTACAAAGTTCAATTTCAGTGAAAGACGAGTGAAAGCAAGAGAGCTTGGCTTTGTTGACGAGAGACTTGTTGGCTTTTAGAACATGTTTCAAAATCTTAAAAGATGGTTACACTTAGAATGACTGGAAAACGATATATAAATTCCATCTTTTCCATGCATGTGTTTTGAATTTACCTACACGAATCATACATTTGTTGAAAACTAGTAGTATATTAGTACATTGAAGCATGTATAAGGTTGTAATGCCAAATTGTAAAAGTCTGGCAGCATTTTTTCAAAATCTCATCGTATCTTGCAAATATCACAAAAATTACCAAAAAGTAATTGCAAGATAGTATAATTCAGTTTAAAGTTTTCATTTTGGGAGAGTTTCGAGAACCTGCGAAGGTGTTTAGTCATAATGACCAATAGGTCACTTTCGACATATCAAAATTCAGCTTGATAGCGTGGCCTAGAGGATACAAACAAAAGAAAGAATAAAGCTGTCATTCAATTCCCTTTGTTTGTGTCCTCTAGGCCTCACTGCCAAGCTGAATTTTAATACAGTATATCGAAAACGGCTTATTTCCCCTAAGAGATGCACCTGCAGGGAATCATGGCAGTTGTATTTATCATCTTGGTCTGGATCTGAATATTTATTTTGATGAATACAACTACCATGATTCACGTCTCAAAGAGGGAGTTGCCTATTGTAGTTCTGTTTGCTGCGAAATCGCCCGGAGAGTGTTCCTTTAATTTTTAACACCAATTACTTGAAGCGCATAGGGGTTGTTAGTCTGAAGTGGTTGAGAATTTTCCATAAACGGGCCGCCAGCATGCATGAACCCGGCGGCTGATCAGGTATTAAATCCGGAACAGAGCTGGTCACAAGATAGGAACGAGTGATCCTACTTTTAGATCAGTTCTTGACTTCGATTGAGTGCTAACTAGAAACTCGATCATAAATTGTTTTACGGAGCTAAAAATAGTGTTATCAGTTCGTGAAGTTGTTTTTCTTGTAAATTTGTTTTTCTGGCTGCCTGGGTAGTCACGCGAACCTAGATCCATGCCTCGCTCTTGTACAGGTCTCTGCGAATAACGGACAAGTTTGTCGTACCGTAAGGTTGATTGGATTTTTCCGTGTCTTTTTCCAGTTTGAAAAGGAAAAGTGAGTTATGCCCTTGAACGATCAGAGCCAGCGACATTCAAAGAACCTGATATTGTACGGAATTTCTAATCTGATGAATCCATCGTAATGGTAAAACAATGCGTTGTCTTGTTTCTTATACTGCTTGTGATTATCGGCCATTCCAAACAATTGACTTGATTGATTTGTGAGGCTGAAGGACTTGAATGAAGTCAACAATGAGCTGATTAGAGTGTTTCGAATGTTTATATTTTACATCGCTTAACGCCGCCGAACTTACATTCTCAAGAAAACTTTCAAATTGTTCACCTTCTTGAGCATTTTCGATGTTTAGACTATGGGCTAATGAGTGTTAAACCGGAAGCGGTGCTTTGCATGCGAATTATAGCTTTCGTTATCATTTAAAAGCCAGGTTGATCTACTCTGTAATTTGTCTGAAGTCGGAATACATAGACAGTACCTTTGAACTGGTCCTTTGAACTTGTAAATCCTCATCAAAGAATTAGAAATGGACCGCATTCACTTGTTTTTGACTGTGCGCTCAGCGGATGCTTGCGCTGCGATGCGCGCGCCGACAAAGATGGTACTGAGTAAGAAGAGTATTTCTTGAACTCACAATTCTTCATTCCTTCCCTCCGGTACACGCGCAAACAGCCACGCAAGTCTCGTATCTTTGAATGGTTTTTAAATAGGTCATGGTGTAATAAACTACCCGAAGTGGACAGCTGGTTCGGCTTATTTGACCTCAGCTGGTTTTATGAGAATTAGAAACTCCCAGGTACGGAAAAAATCACGAAATGTGTCATATTACGTAAAAGCTGACAATCAAAAGCATGGTAAGGAAAAACGTCTTATTTTAAGCCTTCATGAGTCTTTGTCAAGCTACATACGATCATCAGCGCAAAACGCATAACTAATATATATTATCACGACGGTTGTCACCGAAGACTCAAAAAAAAAAAAAGAAAAAAAAGAAGAAAAAAAATCATCTTCGTTCACCCCCAGTAACTGGATCAATCACCAGCAAGTGGATAATTATCAGTGAATTAACGATACTAGCTTGATTTTTAATGTTCAAATTATTTGTTTACATACTAAAGCAAAGAAACATAAAAAAAGCAGTTCAGAGCTGTCGACGGGCGCCAAGTGAGTGACATGACAGAAGACTGAAGCTTTGAGGGTAAACCACTGTGGACAGACAGAAACTTTGTGAGTCACGTTCTGAGAAAACTCGGTTAGTTATAATCACTTGCCAAACGAGTAAAAACGGACATCGCTCAACACAAACGCCTGTCGTGTGGGCAAGATCTGAAACTAACCATATTTTTAGACATAAACGGCGACTTTCGATTGGTTTCGCTTTCCTTCCTGTCTACAGGCTTTCACTTTTACAGCTCAAGATCACTACAACTACTCAGTTAAATATCTATACCCTAATAATATTTTTCGTTATATTACCCTTTTGAAATGCGATTATTAATCATGTGCTGTTCTATGAACGGATTGAGGTATTCGCACTACAAAACAAGGTGCCACTCAGGCTAAATTTTGCTTGTAATCTTTTAAACTGTCAATGGAAAGTTCAGTCTAGAATGATGAAGTGAATGGTTTTATCTCTTTTTACAGTGGTTTCTCCTAGTTAGTGTCATTCACAAATAGCTGTCTGTGTTCAGGAGCAATACTAAGTGCTTGAGAGTCTATCAAGTTATTGGTAAACAATTTTGCAAAATGAACATGCTCTCGAGGACCTCTGAGCTCTAAAAATAGCACCATGCACTTTAATTGTTTGACACTTTTCGTTCAGTTGATATCATTAGACCTGGCGACGAATCAATATCGGAGTGGGACGTACCTAAAAATGACAAAGACATCGGTAATAACAACGACATGAAAAACTTGTCAAGAAAGTCGTATACTCCTGTTTATGTGAGTGGGTTTTTTCATCACTGTTATTCCAGAAATTGAAGGAGTGGTCTTTTAGTCCAGCCCCCTAAGGCACAAAGAGATATTTTTAACTGAACGATTTCCAGGTACCAACCAGTGTTTCGACATTCAAAATTGAAAAGCAAGGTTATGTAATAACCTGGGATTGAAAGCTACTTACAAGCTTGAGTACAAGATAGATATTTTTCATTTTATTTACGTTTCATGTGGAAATACCTGTTAGCGAGTGCGAGTATTTTCACGGACAGATTTCTGCATTTAAAATTTGATCTCTGGCCCCCGTCCTAAATATAGCCACTGTTTTGATTGGCGTCTCAATCGTTCTCATTTGGGAAATTTGACACATTTATCCGTATCGAGTGGCAGAGGGATCCCATGCAGACATGAGCGAGCGACACAGTTAGCGAATTCAGTTTGAGTAATGGCTGTGCAATGGAAATTGATCGCAGTGCTTTTCTCGCTTCTACTTGTCATAGAAGAAAGCGAGTGTTATGGTTTGAGCAAGAGTTGTGGCCCGTGTTTGTGTCGGAGTGGAGAATATGAAGTGCTGGTTGACTGTACAAGGCGCAATTTAACTACCATTCCAGATGGAATACCTCTCAATGTTACTAACTTGTAAGTTCCAATACGTTTCTTAAGTCGTTCGATTTGTTGTTGTTATTTGCTAAAACGTAACCTTTTGCGTTCTGTATGGGGATTTCTCAGGCGTTCGTTTCAAAGGCTATCGCATGAGTTTCTCTCAAAGGTGTCAAGGAAGGTTAAAAATAGCAAGATCCCTTCCCAAGATCACGTACTGAGTGTTCTTAGCAGACTACATGCTATACGCTATCGAAATACAAAGATTCGACCCGTTTGATTGAATTACTGCTGTGCGATTTTATTGTAATCGCATTGTTACCCCGGTTCATCAATATAGAACTGGAGAGAATTGGGAATTTGCCTGGATATCTGCCCATTTATCAGAGATCTGATCGTTATGAAGTGTTTTCTTCAATTCTAAATCGTTGCGTTCCCTTTCAAGAGATACGAAGGAGCAAAGTTACGAGGACAGCAGCGGCTTGACATGGAGTGCAGCACAACCAGTCAGTGTTTCTGTAGTTTTACTCCGTACGTATCGAAAACTGCAGGAGATGACTCTTCAAGCTTTCTGTCCCTCACAAAGTCCAAATATTCATTCACTATTTTAAGTATAAGAAGACTAAAGTACAATAAATCTTGGTTCGACAATGAAAATGTCCGACTATACTGTTTCCAATAAATTAAGCGTACTGAAACAGTTTAATTCGTTAGTGCATTTTTACCATGGTTTTAATACGCCGTTTAGTCTACAATTTGACATCGCAATAACAAGCTTCGGTAAGCTGATGAAAATTAATGACCTAAATTCTACCGAAGAAAAAACATTTACTAGCAAGCTTGCACAAGGATCCGTATCACTTTTCATTGGAAAATACTCGCGGAATACCGTGTTTGGTTTGTAGTTGAACGCTTAGACTTCAAATTGAAAACGCTTTCCTAATAATGGTAAATCTCATGTCACGTTTGACATTTTGGTCTGTCTTTTCGACAACTGGTAGATCTGCATAATAAAGTCCCTGCTAAAGATCATGAAATAGCAAAGGTTGAGAAGGATTTTGGTTGTTTAAGCTTGTGGGGGGCCACATTTTTGGACGGAGAAACCAAGAGAATTCATGCGACACTCGTGAAAGCGAGTCCGCATTGAACCTTCCTCATAACGAGTTAAAACTATTTCGCCTATCCTATCGATTTAGTGTCCTGTGCAATGTGATAAATTTACTCTTCGCTTACTTTAGATTGTCATATCGTCAAATAACTTTGTTTGTTTTGTTAATCCCGAGTGCATATTATCCATTTCAGAGATTTGAGTGACAACATGATCAGAGAGCTCTCTAATTCGCCGTTCTCTGGTTTTCGCAGACTCTCCGAACTGTAAGTAAACATTTCTCTTCTTCTTTTCCTCTTTTTTTGACCTGACCGGAAATTTTTGCTATTGATAGAAACATTTCATAAGCTGGAAGGTCCTAAATAAACAACCTTGAACCGCATCTGTTCCGTGATTATGGGTTTGAAAAGAAAATAGCGCGATATATGTAAACAATTATCCAATTAGACTTTGCGACCTTGTTTATTTTAGCACTCCTGAAATTTGCAGGAGTGTTGGCTCCATTTTCATGCCAAGCAAACCTTCTTTTGTATCGCCGCATTTTTTCCAGTATTTCCTTTCGTCAGCGTTGAAAATATATATTTCAGGATATCTCGCTGAGTTTTGGGAGTGAAATGGGATAGCTTTGAGGTCAATTGAGAGCCGAAGTTGCTAGAGTTTTGCGGTTGAGAATAATAAATGACCAAAATTTGACGAGTCCGCCATCTGTAGCTTTGTACGCAAAGTGGGTTGGAACAACAGTTCCATTTGCTTTAGATTCTCTATAAGCATTGAACTCGTGGATCACCTGGGACTACACAAAGAGACCTTGTTTGCCGTTTAATTTTAGATGGCGCTTGTTGTTTTTAGAGCTTAAAATTGTCAGTGTCTAGGAATATAATTTTTGTTTTCCATTGGACTCGCTTATTGTTTAAAAAAGTAAAAAGCAAACACGGAATGCCTTGGAACTAAATAGCCCAAGCCGCACTAATCATTTTATTAGTTTCACCTACTTATCCATTTTTCAGCTGCTTCAGTCATCAATGAATCGGGCCGAATTTCAGCCAGTTTTTTTTCCTCATGAAACAATTAAGACTAGCAAATTTTTGAAATGTTTTCTTTCTGTGGTGGAAAGCTTCCTCCTGTTCTAGGCATGTAGTCATACACGCTAACATGGTTGCTTTCGTTAGATATCTTTCATCGTTGGTTCAACCCATATCTCTTTATTCGGCCTGAAAGCTATCTTTGAGGCTACAGCATTGCCTTTTCAATGTCGTCAGGAAATCGATTTTACGGAAAACCAAGGGCAGATCCTCGGAAACGTTGAAAGAAAACGTGATTTCTAATTTCCTTTCTTTGTCGCGTGTGGAAAATTAGTGTGGGAAAACAACTTGTTTTTGTTTTATTCCCTGCGTGGAACAATTTAACAAAGAGCACTTTGTGGATGTTGTTTGTTTTCAGTTTTTGAGCGATATGATATGGTTTACCACGCTACTCAGGTGCAACTTATGGTATGGCATGCCTTCGTAAATAAGCGTCCCAAAATGGACCTATAGCGTTAAAAATACACCCTAATTACAGAATAGAAAAGGTCGCTGTTTTTCTCACGTTCTCAGGAAATAACTTTAGCTTCACATCACCGATGCATTGTAGATTGTTAACCACATCTTAACCGCAAGGAAACTGTTATTTTTTTGTGGGAAGTATTTCTCTATGAGAAACGGATATTTCAATGTGCATGCGGATATTTAAAAATAAACTATGTGCCTGCAGATGCCTGCTGGTTAGTCATGTTGTCTTCCGACCCTTCCATTAGTTCAATTGTTGAAGTTTGATATCGCTTGTTAAAAAGTTTTTAAACTTTTTTGCGGTCGAAATCCCGGAAATGGAGACTTCCAGTGTCGTCTCTGTTTTGATTACAAATAATGCGCCGAACGTGTGACAACAACATGAGATATCTTGCACACATCACGAAAGCATTCCATCTCGAAAAATTACAAAGTTGGCCCTTCACCAAACGAAGTCAGAAATATCCAGAGTTTCTGTCTGCACATGTCCTGTCTATTTCCGCAATGTATCTCTAGAGGAAAATAATTCTCGTATTTGACTACGTTGGCGTGGCGGTGGTATCCAGAGTTCACCGTCGAGTAGGTGAATAAGTGGAGGTTATTCAATACTAACAAGAAAATACTCTTAGACCCATTCACTTACTTTAGAAACATTTTTAGTCTATTAGAATGTCAACGTTAAAAGCCTTGTTCAAGGGTTAGTTGGAATCACTTAGAGAGATTCTATTCCATACATTAATTTCATGCATTGTCTATTTTCAAAGAACATTTTTTCGGCGTTGTTTTTTAATCCTTGCGGGATGCCAGATGCCTTATCGGCTCCAAACCAAATGTATCTTATTTTTGTTAAACGCTTTAAACTTTAATCTGCTGCTCAGTCTAATGGCGTGCAGTTTATATAAAAACAAGTTCTTGAAATAACTTGAAACGGCACGCAATGTGCAAGCGCGCACATTCCGATACCAGAATGATTCGTTCAATTGACTTACACATCTAATGCGACAATTTAGAAGCTGTTCTCGTGTTAAACCAGTCTTACAAGGGTTTAAAATCGGTGAAAACATACTCTTTACTTGACAAATATCCCAAGACAAACTGACGGCTCTATGAGAGGAAGGTTAAAAACTGCGACCTTTTTATGGGCGTCATTTTTGAGAGCCAAGAAAGTCAACTTCAGTTTTCATAACTTTGTCTCGCTCACTGATTAGACGATAAACAAACTTCTTCATTGTAATTGTAAAATTATCTCTACGATGTCAAAGACAATGGTCGAGTAAAGGTTGTGGCTCAATTATTGGTTTTGTACCTCATTGTTTGTCGAAGTATTTTTGAACTTTTCCAGTGAAGTCGGTTAGAAGTCACTTAGAAAGAGGACGACAAATTAAGGGATTTTTGTACAGAATGGATAAGAATAAGATATGAATTTGAGTAATTTCTGAAGAATCTTGTCTCCAGACAATCCTTCCTCTAATTTAGAGCTTGAAATAAGTGATTTAGAATAATACAATAGAAAGGGACTTTGGAGGAGTACGAAAGGGAGCAGGAATGGCGCAGTGGTGAAAGCGCTCGTGGCCAAGGTTCGATTGCGGCCCGGTGCCATATGTGGGTTGAGTTTGTTGTTGGTTCTTGCCTTGCTTCGAGGGTTTTTCTCTATTTTTCTCCGGTTTTACTTCCTCCTCAAAAACCAACATCTACAAATTCCATTTCGACCAGGGTAGACCCGTATGAAAACCAGCTAAGGTTGATGTGGTTTCGTCTCTAAATATTGTAATCTATTTATTTTCAGTTATTTATTTAATATTCACACTTTGATCAGTTATCTCTGGGCAGGGTTAGTGGAGATGCTACCAGAACAACTTTTTCTAATATTATTTAAACTGTTAGCAAAGCCCTGGCAAAAAGGTGTTCCGACGAGGCAAGATGATTCAAAATCGAGCGATATCAAAAATTGTCGTATGGTGATATGTTGTTCTTTTGGCTTGATATGCACTCAGTATATCACTTGTCAACCACAAGAGACTTGCATTGTGTAAATCTAATTTTTATAACCACTGTTTGAAAACGATTTGGACATGTTTGTGAAAATTTTGTTGTCCCTGAAAACAGACCGCCTTTACTTTAAGTCAAAACGCTCGACTTACTGCAATTATCTTTTTTTATGACAAAATTAAATGTGTCGGTCTGTGTCAGTTATATAATTAATAAAAATGGAATCTTGCCTATCTATTTACTTTCCTGGTTCGCTGTTATTTTTGGCTTGCATCTGACACGGGGGTCTTCCGTGGTTTTTTCTTGAGGACAGTTTTTTTATGCCAGATGACTGAAAAAAGTTCACGAAAAAGGTAAAAGACAGCCAAGAATGGATAAGAGGCTTTTTTGGGGGCAAACGTTAACAGTAAAATTAAAAGCAAGTCAGGGCAATAGTTAACTAAAACATGACGGACGAATTATTTACATTTTTTATTTCCTAAAATACACATTTAAGTAAATGAGAGTTATAATTAAAATTCTTTACCGGTCAAGGGAATTCTAAAATACTTTTCGTGCTGTTATTCAGTTCTACTTTTCTCACCAATCTTTTAATACTTCGGTGTTTTTACAATTTAACCCTCGTTATTAGTCCTTCAATAAAGAGAAGTTAAAGCAAAGAGATTTTATTGATTTCTGATGGCTTTAGCATATTCCCACACTTGACTTAAAGTTCAAGCCTAAACTTTAAGTGCTACACATTTCTCATAGATTGGCTTTTCCAATGGTTTTTAGTTCTGTACTTAAAGCTCAGCTTTATGACAAGTAACTCGTATATTAATTATGATGTTAACCACGACAGCACTTACATGGTGATATAAGTGGCTCTCTGATACTTTCACTGGCCAAACCTGCAAGAAAACGTTTCTCGATTGTTTCTTATACAAAACGTTGTACAACCCAGTTTAAAGTTTGGTTTATTGGTGAGGGTTTCTAAATGTTCGAAATCTGTTTTTTTAAAGTATTTTATTGATGAATTCAAGACATCATTTTTTGAGGTGGATAAAAGGAATTGAACATTTTTAGTTCGGTAGAATGATGCATCTCTAGTGATCTTTGTTCATTACAGATACATTCGCTAACAGATGGGGGCTAGATGCCGACTTCTAACTATCACTAGAGAATTATTCTTTTTAGTTCCTCCCTTTTCAAAGTTTTCGCTAATGCTTGAGTTATATAGTATTACTAAATTCAGTAGAACTATTTTAATTCGATGGGAAAATCTTTTCAGTCCAAGGCGACAGACTGGAATCTATATTAAGCATTTATCAAATATATTTTAGTACATGCACTTGGCAAAGCCTAAAATTAGTATTTGGTAACTAAATAAATAGCCTCGCTACACAGGTGAGAGCCTTGGTTTTGTTTTGGGAAGTTTGACGTCGGCTTTTGAAGACCTCCTAAAGCTCCCTTTTTAGCGCTCTAAAATGAACAACAACCAGACTAGAATTAGCTTTGCCGTGGTTGTTCTTTGGGCTCGGAATAACCTTGCGTTCTTGCAGTCAAAAGATGTAAATTCTTCTCCGTTTGATCGTTCAACTCCCCAAATGTCTTTAGAGTTTTTTGAACAAATTGGACTCCGATTGAAAAACCCAAGGAAAAAAAATTACGCCTTATACGATTAGGTGACATAGGACAGACAAGCGGTATAATTAGCTATTTCTTTGAAAAATGGCATCAGGCCAATCTTA